GATACAGCTAGCCGGTACTCTTCAACATCAGAATTCATTCACCGGCGTTTTGGTAGAAGATCACGACGTCCTGCTTGCGACAAGGAATCGAACGACTGCTCTCCCTGAAAATCACAGATACATCAGGCAATAACTGACCATCATCAAGTCTCATTGGATACTAGCCATAGTGAGTGGGTTGGAAGACCCCCTCTCCGCATCCGACAGCAGGTCCGGAACGACTATGATGAACGAAGGCTGCTGATGGCAGGACTGAGACGGAGGGATTGAAGGCTTCCATGGGGCTTTCTACGGCGCGTTCCGGGTTTCCAGGATTAGGAGTTACAGAGGCATCATCACAATGACTAACATAGTTAGAATTGCTGAAAATTTGATCGGCATCAGGCAGTGAATAGTTAATATATTGATTGTACTTGCTTGTAGAGGCAAGGTGGAAGACTCCTGATTCATATCCAGCCACAGGTCCAGGACGACTATGCTGAACGCTGGCGGGAATCGGCACGACTGGGCTGGAGTAACCAGGAGCTTCCAAAGAGCGGTCTATTGTGCGTCCCGGAGATGAATTAGGATTGTTCGAACAGTAAAGTGGATGTTGTGAATGAGCAGTATCAGAAGTGCTTCTCAACTGGAAACAGCCGGCAGGTGCTTGAAGCGTTGCACTGGAACACGGAAACTGATCAGGCAAATGACTGTAACTAATGTATGCATACTTGCCTGAAGACGATGCTTGGGAGACCCCACCACCGAACTCGACCGCAGGGCCAGAACGACTCTGATGGCAGGAAATAGAACGACTTTGATGGCGGGAAACAGCTAGCGCGACTGGATCGAGTGGTTCGAGGTCTCCCATAATGCGACAGGCATTGCGTTCTGATCTACAGCGCTCCGATTCACTGAATCAGCAGACTGGGTCTAGTCCGGAAATGGGAGTTGAGAACTCGGAAGGTCCCGTAATAGGAGAGATCGTGATGGTAGGCGTGTTCAAACGAGGAAACCACATGTTTTTTGAACCGTCTTCAAATTCACGGAACAAAATTCCTTTCGGCCATGTATCCGATCTAACAGCAGCTTCGCGTAGTTTGGGATCCATTCCGACTTTGTACGAGATGAAGCTCATACGGCTGATGTCGGTTCCTGTTTTGACTAGCGGCACAACCTTAATCGGATCTTCGCACTGTACACAACCTTTCGCCAGCTTCTCGATTGATTTCGATTTCATGCTAGGATGAATACGAGAAAGGTACAGCTAAAACAGCTCGGTGGGTTCAGGGACAGTAAGGACCTCGGTAAAGGCATTGTCACCTGTTACTGCTTTAGAACCATCAACAAGTGGTTTGCTAGTGAGCGAGCTTTCATCGCGGCGCCGTTTTAATGGCGGTTGACGCATGAAATCAGAGTTTGTCGGAGTTGTCAATGCGATTCGTTTTGATAGCTGAGCGATCTGCTGTTCTTGTTTAGCCATTTCCTTCCTAAGCTCAGCGTGTGCGATTTCCTGTCTCTCGGTGATAGAATTAATCACACTGCCAAACGACGAGACAGCAGTTTTGAATCGAGCACATTTCATCAGCTTCGCGCACTCGTTACACATCCAAAACAGGTTCGGGCTAGTGTGGACAATGTTCAGGAAAGCCTTATTCAGCTTTGTGCCGCCGCACTTTAGGTGAATCATCCTGTCGCAAATAGCCATGCAGGAGACGGATTCTTCATCGCCTTTAACTGGCTTAGCGCATTGTTCACAGGCGGAAGTCATGCTGACTCAGTTTCCAAAAGTGATTTAGAAACAGCGGTGGAGATGCTCTAATACGCAAAGAGGAATTGGATTCTCGAGATCGCCCAATGCTGGTCGTGTACAATATGTCCGATTGGATAATTTTTTCACTGTTTTCACAACACAAAATATGCTCTAATTAGCCGATTATCGTAACGAACTACACTTTCCACTAACAACCAGTACAATATTACAAGTATATCGAACGGAAAAACACGAATAATGATAGCCCGTGTGATAAAAAAAGGACAAATTTAGCAGCGCAAAATCACGACGATGTGAATAACAACAACTCTATATGTTGGTTCATCAAGCAGTGAGAGGTAGAGCCATGACAAACAACAATCACAAATAATGGTCGCTGCTCACAAGCAAAACGTTCCACTCGCTGCTGATGATGAAAAGCACAACGAAAACAGTGAAGACTTCTGCAGTACGATCATGAGAAAAAGCGAAACGACAGAAGAAAATGAAAACAATGCCTACGCATTCCAAGTTCGTCTCGGCAGGCGCGACTGTGTGAGTTCCAAACAAAGTAGGCAACATTAAACGGAAGCTGTTGGGCTCACTCACCAACATACTCACATAAGCCAGCAAAGCAGCAACTGCTTCAAAACAAGCACAAATGAGTGTCGTGATTGTTGGGAATGACCAGATCGGCGAAGGATCACAACCGAAGACTACATTCACCAGTTGCTTTTTACTTCTTTCGTCAACTTGATGGATGGTCATGGAGAGAGCTTCGATGAGCACATTGATAGGATTGTACAAAGCGTTACTACCATGAGCTGTTTGACGATCGTGATTGTGATAGGTCGCAACTCTGTTTCTCTCACAGAGACTCAATGACCCAAAGCTGATAGGAGAGCTAGGTCGAGTTCTGCAGCTTGGAATGGGGCGTTAATCGATGGCATGGAAGAGGTACCTGGAATGGTGATGTTGTCAAGGCTCTGTCGGGATACTTTGTTTCTAAGAACGAAGCTTTCGTCGTAGCTGGCAAGGGCAGATAGTGCCTCGAAGTGATCGTCAAGCGCCTCTGCGATTGTTTGTGGGTCCCGTGTAAACCCGTTGGGCAAGTGGACGCTGAGGGCGTTCACACGACGCCATAGTTCAGTAGTCGTTTGGTTAGCGTTGATTTCCTCAAGGAATTCCTCCCAGCTATTTTTCTTGGCGTCTCTGATGATTTGCCTACAGTCATTTCTTTTTAGTCGGTAGTATTCAGCTGCTTGAGATCTGTCCGGGTGAGCTATAGAAAGGCGTTTCAAAGCCCGAAGGGCTTTTCTTCTACCCTTAGTGGCTGCCTTGACTTTAGGGGACCACCCATGGAGGGGTCTACGCCCAGGGTTTGGGCTGGACTTCGGTATCGACGATCAGGCTTTCAAGATCAGATGGCTGTGTAGCGCTAAGAGCCTCTGAAATATTTTGTTGAAAGCAGACCCAGTCGGCTTGTTCGTATAGCCAACGTGGCCTGCGGGATGCCTCGGGGGGTTTGCAGTCGATTCTGATTTCTATAGGGTGGTGGTCGCTGCCCATCGGATCTTCCTTTGCACTCCACGAAAAACGGTGGGCGATGTTTGAACTAGTAAGAGAGATATCAATGGCAGATTGTCTCTGTCCGCTAGTGTATGTGGGTGAGCCGTAGTTGAGGAGCACTAGATCAGCTGATTCCGCTACTTCCAGTACCTCTATACCACGTCGGTTATTAGAGGGGTCACCCCAAGCTTGGTGGTGCCCGTTGACATCTCCCAGAAAGAGGATAGGGCCTTCCAGGCGAGAGAACAAGTCGGACAGTTTTACAGGTAGGTTCGTAATTATCTAACAGGGCAGATACACTGAGATCACTGCAATCGGAAACGGGTATTCCAATCTGACCGCACCTACAGGTAAGTCAGTGTAGAGCTGAATCGTGGAAAAGGATACTGGAGTTTTGATCCCGATGGCCGTGCCGTGTTTACTGTTATGATTGCATCCCAAGATCAATTGATACTGACCGGTGAGGGATCGGTTCATCCTTTCAACGGTTGTACGATGCACCTCTTGTATGGGCAAAATAATCGGTGAGTGTTCCCGTACCAGAACTTCTAGATTGCTTAGATTGTTGTAAAACCCGTTGATGTTCCACTGGATGGCAAAGGATGACCCAGAGAGAAAAGAATTGGCTGCAGAGTTGGGTCCGTTGATGTTCGATTGCAGCGCCTGTGCAGAGCCTGCAGAGTGCGAGCCGGTGGAGGAACTCGGTAGACCACGTGTTGGTGGGTAGGATGTGGATGTGTTTGGTGTCCGGTTTCGAGCTTTTCGGCTTGTGAGCGGACTGCAGCAGAGCTCCGCCGATAGAAGCTGTCAATGGGAACCCCGCTGCCGGCAGAGATACTGAAGCCGCTGGGTAATGGGACGGATCCAGTGATGGGCCAGCTGATGGTAGGGTGAGGCTACCGAGACTGGTCCTCCACTGGTCGTACCTTCTTGCGGCCATGAGGGCATCCCATCCCATCCCTCGGATTATTGTAAACCAATCGGATGGGCCTGTTTGTGGGGGGACATATCGATGTGGCGATGGGAGAGTCCACCAGATTCGGTTGAACCATAGCTTCCGTATCGGTGGGGCCCCGACTGCGCGAGGCCTTATCCGGTACGAACGCTCTGGCCATGGGGTTCAATGACCTTTTTTTCCTTTCCTATGGCCCGGCGGGGAGAGTGCGAAGTTATCGCTCGACCCCTGTTCCTTAACGATCTTGCATCCCACGAAGTCCAGGAGGGGGAAAAATAGATATCACTCATTTTAAAGTAAGAATAACTTAATTTTAGATTGATTTAAGACCAGGAGAATGAGAATCAACCCGCTGTTTCCAGAACAGTCGACAAGTTACGAAGCAAAATCCTACAGTTCTAGGTTGTAGACGTATGTATAGATATGTTATAAAGTAGTTTCGAGTTAATCAATTGGAACAATAAAATAGATGAGTAAGTTAATCTCTATTAGAATTTAATTAAAAAAAAACAATAATATTGAAAGAAAGTTCATGAGCCTGGTTGCTAAAAACGTAGTGAATGACTTCAAAGTGCAAAACATTGAATTTCCATGTCCCAAACAGCTTGAGATCCAAGTGTGATGTACATTGGATTGAAGTGTTATATTTTTAAAATAATTCAATAATGTTGACATATTGATTTTTTTTTTCCCGATGCAATATAATTAGATCCGGCCTTCTTGTTATCCATTTTTCTTTTCCAGACCAAACGAGTTGGTGAACAGTCGAGATCCGATCTGACCGATGGTTGGCATCGGGAAAAACGTTACGCTTATCCACCTCCACCGTCCGAAGGCGAAGGCCCCGGCAGTTGGTGGCGGTTGCTAGCAAGGTAGGTCTCTCTGTCAATATTAGCTTATGCAGCTGAGCCCACTCTGCTGCAACGCAGTTAAATTGTGTTTACCTATTGTTTTCCCAGAAAGAGCATCAATTTCCGGGCAGATGAAGCGAACCCAAATAGTCTAGATGACGGCGTGAGCCCCCAGAAGAGCGAACATTCCGCGCTGGGTGATAGCTATTTTCAACCCATTACCGGGCTCCCCATCGACACCATCATGCGGGAGGACGTGTACACCGACCAGTACACCGAGAACCCCCTGCCCGGAGTGTTTCACGAAACCGAAGTGCAAACCTCATCGATGGAAGCCCTCTGTGGGAATCTCACCCCCACGTGAGTACCGCTATCATTTGCGCGTGTCATTATTACCTGTCTGCCTTCCGCTTGTTTCAGGACGATCGATGTAAAATGCTACCCAATGCCGGACGCGTTGAATCCCTGCGAGGATGTTATGGGCTCGCACTGGTTGCGGGGATCCGTTTGGGTGGTGGTCCTGCTGGCGGTGTTCGGCAACGTTGCGGTGTTGGTGGTCTTATTTTCAAACAGGTATGTTGCCAGCCTATCTACATTGAGTGGAGGACGGAGTAAATAATTACCTCCAATTACCTTAAATTGAATTTGATATTTTTAGGACTGATTTGACCGTGCCGAAGTTCCTCATCTGCCACCTGGCCTTTGCGGACCTGTGTATGGGGCTGTACCTGCTGCTGATTGCCTCCATCGATGCGCACTCGATGGGAGAGTACTTCAATTTCGCCTTCGACTGGCAGTACGGTAAGCTAATCAGGGGGATTTGTGGTGGTAAATGGTTATATATTTGGATCTAATCATCCATAAGTGAACAATAATGGTAAATGATGTGCGTGCGTGTGTGTGTTCTTTGAAGTACTATACGCTCTTATGTGGCAATTTCATGAAATTGTGTGGTTTAGGGTGAGGGAATCCTTGATTGTTTAGGTACTAATTGGCTGCAATAATTAACATGGTAATTGTCTGGCATGTTTCCACGAAACATCGTTTGTGGTTATGTTGCTGCATTCTTTAACGTATTTTGCTGCTGGTAAACGGATGGCTTGAAGATATGATGGTTGGAGCCGAGGCCTGGCAAATATTCATATAATGGAAAGCTGTAGGGAAAAGTGGGGCAATTTTGCCAATGGGGCAATGCACATAGGGGCAGAATGGTACTTTTGTTGGACAAAAATCGTAGCGCGCCACCCCTGCATCTTAGAGATTTGGTGCCTTTGGCAAAGTTGTTCAAGTGGTTAAGGACTATCTAAAGACGTCAAAATGTTAGTTCTAGATCACGCCGTTCAGGTAGCGCCACCTCTAACTTTTTATAGAAGCATCATAGTTTTTTAAGCAAAGTTGTTTGTTTTGACATTTTGAACAACTCTTCTGAAGACGTCAAAAATCTACAGCCTACTTCAAGCGCGATATTTGAGATTTTTAGTAATATTAATTGAAAACCAGTTTTTTCTTCAATTTAATGTACTTACGCAGATAAAATAAACTGAAATGTTCTTTTTTAATAAAAATATGCATTTTCCCAAGCATTTATTGTGACATACTTATTAAAGTAAACGATTTAACAGCATATTTCATCAAAATAAGCAAAAATTCATGCAAACTTCTATGTTCTATAAAACAAAAATGAGCAAAAAGTAGCAGCTCATTTTCACCTCACAAGCTCTTCAGTGCTTACCGATAACTATTCTGCAGAGCACTGGACCGGGCACAACAAGGCATTTTTATTTCACAGTGTTGAAAATACTTGATTTGCATACATAACAAAAAAATCAATTTTTTTTACATTTTACATTGTCTCTACGTGACATATCGATATCATCAGGTTAGCCTAGAATTGTTTGTTTGTTTTCTCAGACAGTGATTGTCATTCAAAAATGTTTTGCGTCACAAGAAGAGAAGTGTTCAATCTCTTGAGTGAAAATATAAATCTTTCCTGGAAGAGCAGGCATAAATATATCTGCGAAAGATTACAAACGTCCACTTTAATTGGGGTAAACCCTGAAATCTTGAAGCTTATAAGAAAGAACGTTATAAGGTGTTGTGGAGAAATAAAAAAGAGATGGGAGAAAAGTGGTCGGAGAGGAAATGGATGTCATGTCGGCCTAAATGCCCCTAATTTGGGCCCATACGCCCATACATAAATTCATCAATCGACTAAATTTTCAATAGCGACCAAAAACATTCATTAGTACCGTCCCAATGACGCGTTCATCTAGATAAAATTGAAAAATAGTAGATTTTTAGTGATGGGCCAAATCTTAGAACCATAGGCCAACATTAGAGCCAGCCAACATTTGAAAAAAGTTATGAGTTGTGGATGAAAGGATGTCTAGACGTGGGAAGATCGGAAGCTATTAACGATATATCTGTGCAATCAAGTAAGTGGCTGCATGAATATTGCATCACAAAACGCAATCGGTGAAGGAAGCTATTGAGAAACGAAAACGGATATCCAGAACAGTGCGGAGATTTTTTTCGAATCCATCAAAGACAAGTGAAATCACAAGTATCATATCTTATATTTTCATGTTTTAGGTTGTCGAATTGAATCACATAAAGTATGACACACATTGTTTATTGCTCGATAAATTTCAGGTATTGATACTATTGATATATTGATACTAGGACAGCGTTTATACTGTGGGTATGCTATTCATGTGGAGACCTTCCGAACATTCGCTTTAGATACAGCAAAACTTTATGTAAAGCTCTACAGTTGGTATCCCATGCCAGCAAAGTGTTTATACAGGGTGCGTGACGATTTTTTGCAGTAAATGGCATATTTGAGAAAAAATACACCAGTTAGTTATTCTAGCAATGAATTTTGTACGATTTATTTTCTTTCGCAACATATGGAAGTTGTAAGTAAATTTATTCAAAAAAAATTGCCTTCCCTTTCGACGACTGTAGTTAGACGCTTCCGGAAACTGCAGTATGCACGTTTTAAAATGTTTCGATCCATAGATGTCATCACTGCCTTGATTTTAGCTTTTAGCGACTTAAGTGTGGTGTGAGGGGTTCTATTGGTATCCCGTTGGACGACGCCCTATACACAATAATCCAACGGATTGATATCGGGACTGCTTGGGGGCCAAATTTCTTCCTCCCAAATTGACGAAATATTTTCCGTAAGCCATTTCTGTGCTTTATTAGCAGTATGAGCAGGTGCTCCGTCTTATCACTTTCCTAAGCCTTTTTTAATATTATACACTGTTCTTTCAGACACATTTACCGACCGAATTATTTCTTTCATGCATACTCCGGCGCGCAACAAAGCAACAACGGCTGACAGATTGCTCTCTTGTTTCGACATCTTTACGTTTACTCAACATTGTTTGTTTAAATCATACACCTAACAGTACACACTACGAAAAAGAAATGTAAATTTCAGTGCCCTGAGACCGACACATGCAAGCGGCCCTTTTGACATAAGAATCAGTTGAAAAGGACGAGAAAATCAATTCAATCAAACGCACTTTTTGTCTAGTTGCAAATGTTTCAGTTTCAGGACACTTAATTTTACATGCCATGTTTGTTTACGTTCCATGATTTACGTCAAAGCTGAATTACGTCTCGTGTAAAAATAATAATGTCTAAGTGTGTATAAGCTATCCAGTGCTGCCAAATATATCTAAATCATGATGCACAAGCATGAGAAATTACTATTTGAAATTTACTGCAAAAATTCGTCACGCACCCTGTACACGGATCCAATGCAATCGAAATTGCATTACTACCAATCGGCATGCTGTCAGAGGAGGCACAAGAGGCCCGAAATAAGGATTTCTGACATTTCCGGGAATGGAAGAGCAGACACACTAGTCGGAAGGATACAATGCAGGATATTTTCAACGATTTAATGATAACTTATGATCCTGTTTTGTCATCGATGAGAACTCCCGTGATCAATAAACACAGAGATCTAAAACCGACTATGGTAGCACTTTTCTGCAGCTATCAAATGATGCAAACAGTGTTAATGATATAGACGATAGTGATGCTGATAACGAGGGTATTTCTGAAGAGTAAACCTTATTTTATAATATAATAAATGTTACAGATGCATTTTATATTTTATTTCTACTACAACAACAACACATGAACTTGAAATCTAATCATTTTTAAGATTCAAACAAAACCAAAATTACTTAAAGGCTTACTTGATTATTTTGGTATGTCATGTAGAGAAAATAGCAATCCACAAGTGCAACTGTTTTTTTTTTTTGTTAATCTAGTATTTTCAACACTGTGAAATAAAAATGCCTTGTTGTGCCCGGTCCAGTGCTCTGCAGAATAGTTATCGGTAAGCACTGAAGAGCTTGTGAGGTGAAAATGAGCTGCTACTTTTTGCTCATTTTTGTTTTATAGAACATAGAAGTTTGCATGAATTTTTGCTTATTTTGTTGAAATATGCTGTTAAATCATTTACTTTAATAAGTATGTCACAATAAATGCTTGGGAAAATGCATATTTTTATTAAAAAGCAACATTTAAGTTTATTTTATCTGCGTAAGTACATTAAATTGAAGAAAAAACTGGTTTTCAATTAATATTACTAAAAATCTCAAATATCGCGCTTGAAGTAGGCTGTGGATTTTTGACGTCTTCAAAAGAGTTGTTCAAAATGTCAAAACAAACAACTTTGCTTAAAAAACTTTTTCGCTATGATGTTCTATAAAAAGTTAGAGGTGGCGCCACCTGAACGGCGTGATCTAAAACTAACATTTTGACGTCTTTAGATAGTCCTTAACCACTTGAACAACTTTGCCCAAGGCACCAAATCTCTAAGATGCAGGGGTGGCGCGCTACGATTTTTGTCCAACAAAAGTACCATTCTGCCCCTATGTGCAATGTGGCCACCCGCTTAAAAATCAACTTAGTGAACATAAAGGCTGACTAAAAGTAAATTGGAACGCACCTTGCGAAATCAAAAGTCTTTGACAGCGGTTTGTTTACACTTCTATTGAGAACAACTGGTGCAAGTTTGATCAAAGTAGTCGATCACGTTCTGAAATAACGTCAAATGGAACTCGAAAGAAGAAAAAATATCGTGCACAAACACCTGGAAAATCCGCAGTGGTTCGGCTCCAAGCTGGCTAAAATGCTGAAAATGCCGAAAACAACAGTGTGTCGAGTGCTCAAAACCTACAAGAAACTCTGAGTGTGGAAAGGAATCAGCGGACCTTCGAAAAAACTGGAACCAGGGATCGTCAGCCGCGCAGCAAGGTGTTGAGGTGCGTTAAAGCCAACCCCGGTCTTTCGATCCGAGATGGTGCCAGAAGGTACAACGCCAACTTTCAAACGATGCGGAACATCCTTGCCAGGGAAGGATACAAGTCGTACAAAGCCAGTAAACATCCGAACCGGCACATGAAGCAGAATTCCGTGGAAAAAAGGCTTGCAAGGCTCTTGTACGAACGTGTTTTGACGAAACACAAGGGCTGCACTTTGATCGATGACGAAACATACGTCAAACTCAATTTTAAGCAGCTTCCCGGTCAAAAATTTAACATCGCAACTGGACGTGGGATGTGCCGGGAAGTTCGTGTTTGCCGACAAGTTCACGAAGAAGGTCATTATTTGGCAAGCGATTTGCAGTTGTGGCCTGAAAACAAAATCATTCGTCACATCCTCGACGATGACATCCCAAGTTTACATCGAAGAATGCCTGAAAAAGCGTGTATTGCCGTTCATTCGCAAGCATCGGGGCAAAGTCATTGGCCAGCTGCCTCTACTTCTAGGTG